TCACATTTGTTGATCTCGTACTCATAAAGGTGCCACTCAAAATGGTTCAGCGGTTGAGGATCCATGTAGTAAGACCTCTTCAGCCCTCCAAACTCATTCATCACTTGCTTCCTCGACTCATGCCAACCTCGTCCGTTGTAATCTGGCAATGACCTCTGCTTTCTGTTACCGCTCTCAAAAGCTCTTCGAGGCTTGTCAAAAAAGAGCCACTCCCGGATTATCTCACCCTCGAGAACCGAAAGATCAAAGAATTCTGGAATCACAAGGAATTGATCAGATAAAATTCACAACAAAAGTCACTCATGACTTCTAAATAAATTTTACAACAGAACAAAGACAAAAACAGCTAAAATGCACTTACCAGGTGCATTCCATGGAGACTTTGCAGTAGCAGCTCCCTCGCACTCAGGGATACCGACACCTTTTCCTTGTGCCTTTGCACTAAGAGCAGCAAAAAGTAGGCCATCCTTCAGGCCGATGCCCCCAGGTCTAAGGACCGGGCCCATGCCTGGTGGTCCTTCATTCAATGCCAAAGCAGCATGAAAGCTACTGCAGTAGTCTAGCCACCAGTCCAACCCTTGAGCAGGCCTAGGGCAATCCCAAAGTGCACACTTTGGGCCCAAGAAAGCAGAGGGCGGAGGGAAAATACTCGGGAGATAAGTAGAAGCCTGAGACAATGTGTCCTCCCCCCTCAAAGCTGTGCCATGAAAACAAGGGTAGAAACTCTGCTCAAAGTCTTGATGCAATTCAAACTGATGATAGTCCAATTGATTAGCCCCTTCTAAATTGTTAACAGCATTGCGAACTCCGGAAGGGGAGCTTTTGCACTGATCAGCCAACGGGAAGGCATGTTCCTGTTGCCCTTGATTCACACTAAATCCCTGAAATATTGTGTTGGCAACCACCAGTTGAGTGCTCATATACAACTGATTCACTTTTCATTCAAAGCAAAATAACAGAGCACGTAGCTATACGGATAAACAACGAAAAACTGGAAAAAAAGAAAAAAAAAAAAAAAAAAGAAGCAAATACCATTTAACAGTTCAGAAAAGAAAGAACAAAAAGAAAAATAAAGGGGGCAAAACCACCTCATGAAATACCAAACTTTCTCCAACTTGCAAGTTTTGATCATTAGGCTCGGATTTCGGTGCAGCTAATGGACTAGTGGCATCATCTTCCTCTTCACATAGCTGCAACAGCCGGCAAATGTCTGAAGAAAACGAACCAAGACTGCCACCCTATATTCGCCATAAACACCAAAATTCACAACCCGACCCTTTAAAGCAAAAGCATAACCACATATTTCATGAGTTCATGTATTACATAAACGAATAATCACACATATGTTAATACAGTAACAGGACGCTTCTAGTTACAAATCTAGTTCCACATATGCACTCAAAACAAATATGTATTTGATATGATCAAAATGCTACCTGCTGCTGAAAAGAAGAAGCCGAGGAGGGCTCATTTAGCTCGGCTTTCCACTCGCGTAGCATCTGATGCACTTGTTCTTCGAGGAGTGCAGCATCGATGGAGCGGCTCTCCTTCCTGGCAAACTGGAGGTCCGTGAACATCCCCTGCAAGTCATCCACACGGTTCTTTGCTTTGTCCTTGAAAAGCTTGTGAGAAGCGGACTTGCAGGTGCTCTTTGAACCCTTCATCACAACCCCCGCCCCCTTCTAAACCCTACAACTCACACATCAAACAAAAACCCATCTCAGATTATCGAATACTCATCAAGATCAAGAATTTAGCAACACGCTCACAAACCCATCTCAGATTACCAAAAACCCATCTCAGATTAGTACATAAACAAGCCAAAAAAAAACCTGAATTACGAATAACAACCACGGAAACTCACCATAATTCAGACCAAATTCATAAAAATAACTTAAACATAAAGAAAACTAGTAAACACGGGAGTGGAACCTCTACTAATCAGAAGCAGGCGTGCCCGATTGGTATGGGAATAGAGTGAAATTCAGCAGTTAATCGGAGTTTAATACCGAAAGAAAGCTGGGATCGGAAAGGTCTGAGAGGGTTTGGGGTGTAGACGGCGAGAGGTGTGGAAGCGAGAAAGCTAAAAAAGAAAAGAGAAAGGAGAAATATTCGACCCGGAAAGGAGATGCTTTCCCAATAGTCTCCCTCAAAGTGTTTGATGCCAATTTCCAATCTGCACACTTCGGGTAAAAGAGAAGGAGTGGGACGCATGGTTGGGTAAGAAACCGTGGCCCTTATATCTTGTCGATGGGAGGATGGGTCGGTCGCCAATGACATATTCTCTGTTTATTTTTCTCAAAAGAAATTTGCCTTTTGACTTGTGAAGACTAAATGAGAAGTCGTGAAGCTTTTTCCGTATTAATTGTGGTTAAATTACTTGAAATTTCAAAACTTGCGTTTTAGATCGTTTAAATCAAAATAGTCTAACGATAATTAATTGAGGAGGTAAGAACTACCCCCCCCCCCATTTTTTAGGGGTGAGCAAGAAATGCACTTGGTTAAATAGATAGATCGTTCTCACTCAGCAAATGACAATTTGAGTACGTGACATTCAATTTTCACTTTGCTTCTTTTTCTAATCCAATTGAACGTGTGAGAGGCAAAATCAAACTTAAGACTTCGAGTGCAGCGATAAAATACACGATGACAATTTTTTAGTAGCAATTGGGAGAAACATATTTATAGTTGTAACTTGCAATGAATTCATCCGTTTACATAATCTATAAGATAATTTGCGAATAAAAACTTATATTGATAAGGACATATGAGACTGGTTTGGACTTTTGACCTCCCATATAAAAACTTATATCTACAATAAAATATTTATGTTCGTAAGCATTTTTATTAAAATTATAATAAATAGTCATCCATTGAAAAATATCAAGGCGCAACAAAAAACCAGAAATCCTATATCAAAGCATTTTAGAGGTCAATGGAGTTTGATCTGGCTACAACTCTCCTCCTTCCATGCATGCTCGAAAGAGAAACAAGAGTTGTAGGGATCATGGGTTGAACAGTAGATCGAAGTCTACTTATTTCTTGGTGGGAGAGAGAGAAGGGGAAAACAAGTCGACCAAGAAAGGGATAAAGAGAGCATCCACTACTACCAATATCATCCATCAGATTCCTAATTTGATGCCTGTTTGTGGAGATAGAAGGGAATTAAAAGGTATGGTTGTGCTGCTTTACATGTGTATCATCACTACTACTCAACTTAATCAACATTTTATGGATAAATTTTTTAGTGTGCCGGAAACACTGCTCGATACATCTAATATAAAATTGAATGATGATTGAATTTAGCGTTTCTTCTATTTATTTGATTAACAGTTAGACATGTGAACAATTTCCAATTTAATAGCATAGATGATCGTTGAAGGGTGACGTAGAATATGACATGTCCAATAGAATTAGGGAATATGTAAAAGGCGAGAGTGACTAAATCCCATTTCCAAATCTTAGTGAGAAAGAAAAGCACAAATAAAGTGGAACAATAAAATTAGTATTTTCCAAATCTTAGTGAGAAAGATAAGCTGAGAGTGACTGAATCTCATGTCGATGAAATGAGAGCAATAGTTTTTGAACTATTACCGAATTGTAACTTTAGTCTCTAAACTAAAATTCCAAAGATTTGGTCTCTGTATTTAATTAAATATGGAGCATTGATTCTTTCATGCTAACTCCGTTAACTATGCCGTTACTTTCTTGATGTGGAAACGTATGAGACCTATTATTATGTGATTGAATGCCAACTGGATTAAAAATAAAAGAATTTTTTTAAAAAAGATAAAAATAAAAGTTCAAGAATGATGGTTTAAACCCAAAACCCCAAAATTAAAATCTCTTTACACTCCAAAAAACCATGTTTGTCTAGAAGACTAAGGGCTCGTTTGGATGTGCTTTAAAATGACTGAAAACGCTTTTAGAGAATATATTTTTTGGTTCCAAAAGCACTTAGAGCAAGTCCACCCCTAAGGACTTTGCGCCAGCACCCATCGCATTTATCCACTCAAATGAACAGTAATAGACTGGAGTGAACAGTAATAGGCCAAGGCATCTCCACCCCTAAAAAAATGTGCTGGCACCTAGCGCATTTTTTTGGTGTGTTTTTTTTTTAAAGTTTATTTCGGATAAGATTTTTAACCAATTTCAGATAAAATTTCAAATAAACTTAAAAAAAATACACACTAAAATAAAATTACATACTCATCAAATAAACTATAAAAAAAAAAACACACTAAAATGAAATTACATAAACTCATCAAATACACTTTATTCTTCAACCACAAGTTTTTTGGTATTTTTTTTTCACACAAAAAGTATATGAAAGCTTTGGTAGAAAGTGTAGAAAATATTAAAATGTGGTGTAAGGTGGAAGATGAGAGTTAGGTATTTATAGAAAAATAAATAATTTTTTTTTTAAATTTTATGTATTTTTTAATATTTTTTTCTGTATGTTTTAATAAATTTTAATTAGTTAATTAACGTGGACCGTTGATCTGTGATCGGACGGTATATTTTAAAAGTAAAATTTAAATTTTTTTTACCGTTGGAAATCCAACGGTCTAGAAAAACTAGCCGTTGGAAATCCAACGGATATAAGCATGCCACGTCGCTGATGGGATCCGGAGCACAAATGGGCTGACAGCCCTGTCGATTACTCGCGGCAGCGCCTGCGTGAAGCGCACGCGCCAGGCAAACTGCCCAGCTTCTTGCTCAGTCTATTTTGGGCTGGTCCATTGCCCAACTCAGGCTGGGTACCAATCAAAATGAGGGGTGGACTTGGTTGATAAGGTGCTGGCCCTGTTTTTGTGCTGGGTCCTGGGCAAAATCCATTGGGATGGAATTGCTCTTAAAGTGTTTTATACAAGAAGCGTCAGTTATGTGCTTCTTCCAGAAAGCACTTTAAGTGATTTTCAAGAATTTACTTGCATTTTTACTAAGGATTGGTTCCAAAAACATTTTCACCAAAAGCGTTTTTAGTCATTTTAAAAACATATCCAAACGAGCTCTAATGCCACAACACAAAGGGCATCATTAACTTGGCATCTTCTGTTCAATGTTTAGACATTCCGAAAACAATGAAGCCAGGCATCAATCTAAAAAGATGACCTACGGTCGAAAGAATCAAAGGTGAAAATTTTCCCTCTGCAACGAGGGAAGCATTGTACGAATTAAAATCGGATTAAAAACCATCTTTATTAGATGAGTTTTGTGTATGATCAGGCTGGCTTTACTGACTTTGCAGATTCTGTATCAGGGCGCTTGAAACTGATAATACCGCTAAGCCCTCGTCCCCTGGCAAGCTTCTCCAGTTCTTCAAATTTTTCCTTAAGAAGTTCTACTTCTCTGGATAAGGCTTCGTCTCTTTGCTTGAGTGCCTGAAAAACAGTGAACGGCAGGCAGGCAGTTAGGCCCCCGTAAAACTTGATAGGTATTGTTCTAAGAAGCATGTAGTGTGAAACAGATATTGGGTTGTGCATACTGCATAGTATGATATATATTTACCAAACTGTGATATGTTTGTTTCACAATACCAAGTCTAACCAAGTTGTTATAACGTGGTCTTAGGTTATTCGTGATAATCCACCAAGATTTTCGCGATATTAGATATCCCCAACCTTAGACTAGCTTTTTCATAGGGAGTTTCCTTGGTTTGTAAGGTAATATTCATTAACATCAGCATGCTCTAGGTGTCTATCTTTCATTAGTCTTTTGAAGGACAAGCTACATATATCTAGTTTGTCACCGGATGGTACTTTATCCCATCAGAAATTGAGAAGATGATATTGTACCATCTTGTTCACCAGAGAGTGCACAAGAGAGCATAATAGAGAGAGGGAGAAAGGGAGAGAGACACTCTCCTGATTACTCTTTTAGGGGACAAAAGGGGCAGCGATTTGCAAACGAACAAAGGGTAAACCTAATAGGAGAGTTACAAGCTGCTTTATTCATTTCCACTGTAATGAAGCAACAAAATTGACCTTGGCATACGGTTTTGACAAGCAACTGTATTTCAGTAAGTGGAAAAAAATGTACATCTTCTGTATTCAAATAAATATGATCTTATCCACACTAATGAAAACAAAACCAAAGAAGGCAGTTTGCTCAGATAGTTCAATATCAAAATAAAGAGTTACCATTTTCTTTCATCTCCATTAGCATTTTCAATTTGAAAAGGATTGGAGGTCATTTGTTCAAAAGAGGGTAAAAATGTAACTGAATAAAAATTCTATATTCTCACGAGGTCAATGAAATAATAGCATGTCAAGGTTGGCACACATATGCAATTAACACATTGACAGTATTGCCACAATACCTCCAGTTCTTGCTTGCGTGCTTCCTCCTTTCTCGCTTCTGATCTAGCACTTCTTTGTACTTCAAATATCAAAGCAACAGTTGCAACCTGTGTATATATATACATATATAGAAAGTTAGGAATGTAAGTATTATCATGGAACATTCACTACATATACAGTTGGTCTTAGTGGGACGACCATGGTCTCAGATTTCCGTGCACTTTAAGCACAACAAAACCTGCCCTACCCTCCCAAATGTTATGTACGAAAGAATCCTAGGCCATCTCATAATTCCCGTCCATAGAGCATGTGAGACTTATAAAAGGAAGCCATATTTCTCAAAGACACCCCAATAAGTTCAATTGCCCCTTTTTTTAGTCCTTGAGTAACATTAGAGCAATCACGTCCACTTATGCAATTAGACACAGCCCAAATCTACATATTTTTATTTACATTTGAGCCTTTCAGTGTGCATTGATAAATCATAATAAATCGTAAACTTAAGAGAAACAGCTGTGAGAAACTGAAAAACGAGTAGCTAGCACTAAATATTACCGAGAAGACAAAGAGCTCCCCCATAAGGTCAACAGCAGCCTGCACAGCCTTCTCCTCATTCAAAGGGCGAATCTCAACATCGGTCGCATGACTGTATAGGCGCCTTTGCATCCTCGTGGTAATTCGATGGTTTGCCTGAATCCCAATTCATTAGAGATTAAATCCCTTCACAGATTAATGCATACAAAGAAAGTTGATTTCAAGAAAACCAGCATCAGAACGTAGTGTTTGTAATATCAAATTCATACAGTGACATGAATTTACAAGCAGATAAACCTAACAAAAACCCGAAAGCAAGATTCCACAAAAGTATAAACAGTAGCTCAGCTCTAGCACCACTGTCAACAATAATTTTACAACACTACATAACACAACCCATTTGTCGAAACGGGATGATTAACGAAAATGCGATTCACAAGCACTAGCTGGGACAATAGAAACTAAATAGCCCATATGGGTTAGCTCGAAGATTGATTACCAACAAGAAAAAATGAAACTTTTTTATCTCCGAGTTAAAAAGAAAGTAAATTTCAAAAGGGGGCAAGAATAACTTGTCAAAAAATGTATTGGGATCACATTACAACGAAATACAAATCACCAATTCACCATCTGAAACAATGTCTCGTAGTTAAAATTTACCTGTGCCATGCTGACGATTAACTGGCGGAACCTGGGATGCACTGCAGCTTGATGTTTGAGTCGGGCGGCGACGGGTTTGCTGAGAGTTTTGATGGCAAGAGTCCCGAGCTTCAGGAGCGGAAGCACCATGGCTGCGTAATCCGATCTACAAATACAATTGTTTGGTGCTTACTGTTCCTGCTTCGGAACAAAGCTGATGAGAATTCAGTAGCAAATGCTCAATCGACGGTGGTGATGCAGTTGGAAATGGGGTGGTTATGTATCATTGCTGCGGGGTTGACCGGTTCAGAGGGCGGGTGAGTTTCTTGGAGAAGAAGAAGAAGAAAGCTGAGAAATGGAGAAAGTCGGAGGAAAGGGAAGGCATGTGGGAAAATGGGGTTTGTTTGTTTATTGCTGAAATTGGGGGAAATTGGAGTGGAAACTGCGATTTGTTAGTCCTCCTGGCTCTAGTTTGTTTCACTCCCATCAAATTGGACGGCTGAAATGTATCAAATTGCCATTCGGCGACGTTAACCGAAGATTACCAGTTAGTTCGACCCAAGAGACCGAATTTTATGAAGTTAAATTGCATTCATGAGTTCCTAATGTTACATGTAGAAAATAAAGTGTTTTCCCACTTACAACCATGAACAGTTAATACAAATTCATCGCTTGATAATGTCTCACAAGAATAAAATACAAATTCACAAATAAAAGACTTAGATCGAGTTGATGCAACTTATTACAGCATATAACTAATCAAACTAAATAACTTATAATATAAAAAACTCTCACAATGGTTATGTGGGAGTCTTTGCCCATTATTCCAGCTCAAATTGAGCATATCTACATAGTAAAATTTTGATTGCAACTAGGTATCATTGTCTATGAATCAGGCTCACACTGCATTATGTTGTACAAATTAAAGCAATCTACCAACCTAACCATTATAGTTGGTAGAATCCACTAAAGGGAGGAAGAGAGACCAAGAGGATGATGAGGTTTGAATCGGATCAGCCGCTATGTAATAGAGATTTATTCCAAATTCGCACCAACTAACTGTAATAAGTGATAAAGTGCCAATGTTTACAGAGATAAAAACAAAATGTGTGGTACTTTAATGGGAAATAGATCTTGAAACGATAATTTTTTAGTATTTCTTTTAGATACCTATTTTTCTATTGATCTTAATGATGTTATAATAATTACTTGAAGATGTCTTAAGTTCGTCATGATCTAACAATTCAAAGTGAAGTCATTTAATATTATGATCTGGTGATATTCATTTTCAGTTGGAAGTGAGAGGTTTTAGGTTCGAATATCGTGAATGGCGAATTCGATACCAAATTAAGATGCCCATTATGTAACTTTGCCGAACTTCCTATCCCCTTAGTGTAAAAATATCAATATACTAAAAAACACAAAAAAAAACAATTCAAAGTGAAAGTTTACCCCTACAATTTATCATGGGTTGGATGAGATCAGTAAACAAAACCCATTGACTTAGCAGCCCGGCCCACTTCAACAGAAAAAGACAACAAAATTCGGCCACGTCAGCGATCCTCAATCAGCATGACACCTCCTAAACCAACCCGCGTCCGTCGATTACCAAAGCATCAACGGCCAAAGTCATTTTTATATCCGCGCCATTATTTTCAAACTGGAGCCCGAAGCCTAAACCCTAAACCCTAAACAAAAAACACCCTCCACGTCAGCGATCCGCAAAAATAATAACCAATCAAACAAGGCGCAGCCGTCGATAACACCCTAAATCAACGGTCTCAATTCGTTCTCTCCCATTTGCATTTTTCACACATCCCGCTATAAAGTCCCTCCAAGGCCTGAGCTCTCACACGCTACTCACAAATCAATCAAAAATCCCCAAATCTCAGAAACCCTAATCACCTCTCCATCTCGAATCCAATCCACCAATGGCACGCACCAAGCAAACCGCCCGCAAGTCCACCGGAGGAAAAGCTCCCCGTAAGCAGCTGGCCACCAAGGCGGCTCGCAAGTCTGCTCCGGCCACCGGCGGAGTGAAGAAGCCCCACCGCTTCAGGCCCGGAACCGTTGCTCTCCGTGAGATTCGTAAGTACCAGAAGAGCACTGAGCTCCTGATCCGAAAGCTCCCATTCCAGCGCCTGGTCCGTGAGATCGCCCAGGACTTCAAGACCGACCTGAGGTTCCAGAGCTCCGCCGTTGCGGCCCTCCAGGAGGCGGCGGAGGCCTACCTCGTCGGGCTTTTTGAGGACACCAACCTTTGCGCCATCCACGCCAAGAGGGTTACCATCATGCCCAAGGATATCCAGCTCGCTAGGCGCATCAGGGGTGAGAGGGCTTAGATTCCATTGGGGTTTTAGTACAGATAAAAAGTAGTATGGTTTTCGTAGGTAAGATGTTTGTTGAAATGTTCATGTTATTTTGTGGGGTTTTCGCTTTTGGGTTTAGGGTAGGAAATGTAGGTAAGAATCTGAACGATTATAATGTTAACATCTGTGAGAATCTGAACGATTGTAATGTTAACATCTACTAATCTCTCTGTATGTGTTCATATGCATGTGAGAGGTATTTTTTTTAATCATGGGTTTGTAGTGCCTCTAAAGATGTATCAAATTAGCTGTTTACCATTATTATTCATTGGTAATAGACATTAATAGTGTCATTACAATTTTAACTTAGGTTACAAATAAACTAGGGAACTTTAACGAAAAGTTTTTAGTATTGTTTATTTTAACGAAAAATCATGTTTTTATATTAAAAAGTTAATCCTGGTACTATTTATTTTATTTTTTATTTTATTCTTATCATTAAAATTTAAAGTTTTCAAGTTTTTTTTATTAGTTTTTTTAATAAACTAATGTCATTAACATTTGGAAGAGATAGAAACTCTTGAAAATGGTAACGAATGCATTAATCACTATTGATTAAATACATGTGTACAACATTGAAGAGCGGCTCTAAATAGTCAAATTACAAACAACAATTGTAGAGAACGAATATATCAAAATGCAAATAATAAAACTGAATAAGAAGCAAGAAGTAACTTGAAATAATAAGTGCAACCATCTGGAATTCACCATCCATCATCCAAATTGCACACTTTGGACAAAGATTGAAACTGCTATGACTTGTTGCGCTATACATACATACGTCTTTTTTCTGCTTCTTCAGTACCGTAACCTTTACCAATGGCCCCCACTGGGATATCTGCAATTTGAGATATAAACTGATGGAATGGCCTCCGCCTCTCCTCGTCGGATCAGGATCCTTTCCTGAGCAAATGGATAGGATCTTCCTGACCGGATCTATCGAGCCGTTCAAAATTTATCAAACAGCTACAAACAAAGGGCTCCACTAAAAGTTATAATAATTATAGCCGTTGAATAACTTTTGAACTGTCCGATAGATCCGGTCAAGAGGATCCTCTCCATTTGCTCAGGAGAGGATCCTGATCCCTCCTCGTCAAGGAAATCTAACTGTTTGAGAAAAATTGATTTGCGAACGTGGTGGAATTTGTTTCTTCCACGTTTGATTTCTAAATTGTACAATATTTCCCTGTTTTGTTGGGTGCGTGGGGTAACTGCTCTCTCGATCTCCAAGAAGTTGATTCTTAGAACTAACTGACATGTTTTTTATTTTTATTAAAATAAATTGGATTTTTTTTATGTTTTATTTTACAAAAGTACCCATAGGAGTTATAATCCTTATTTCTTTGTCTCTTGTGGATTTTTTTTGTTTCAAGGGCTTTTGTGTCCAATTTTTTTTGGTGAAGCCTTGAGACACCAAAACTCACTTCTGGCATTCTAGTATTAGAGATTAGAGATGTTAATGAATTCCAGTTCTTTTGATTTGTGCAATTTACAGTTAACCCAAAATTATGTATTAGTTTGCAAGTGGTCTCTTATTACTGTAGTAAAAAGGAGTGTTATTTTTGGATTATGGTTTGAATTTGAATTTTGATAGCTCTTTAATTTAATAAATTTATTCTTTAGACAAAAAAATTTGGGATATGCTATTTATATATTTGTTTTTATTTTTTACATATTTTTAGTTATTTTTTTATTAATCTTTTTTAATTTATTTGATTTGATAATTGAAAAGTAAAAAAGTTGTGCAGATCCATATCTCAAAAGATTATTTGCTAGTTTTTTTTTTTTTTTTTTTTTTTTTTTATAAAGTCAAATTCAATTGACATACAGGCTTGAACAGTTAATTTGTTGGGATTGTCTGAGATATTTGTTATCTGAATGTGTGGTGAGGCTTGAACAGTTAATGTGTGGAGGTACAAGAATTGAAGTTCAATTGTATTGTAGTGCACAATTATGGAAGGGTTCCGTACAATTATGGTCCGGATCATTTCTATCAAATTCAACCAATCAATAGATTCAGAAATTTGAAATTTAAATTAATGGTTAAAGTTATTATAATTTTTAAAAGAGACTTGTTTTTAATCGTTGGATCAAATTTCAAGAGTTCGGATCTCTTAATTGGGTTGATTTTGTGAAAAAGATCAAGAGAGAATCTCTTTCCCACAATTATTGTCTACTTTTTACAAAAATGACACTTTCTTAAAGTCTTATCTTTCTAGCAATGATGTAATGTAATTTGGAATCGGATCCCCTCTGGACCCTTTGAAACTGAGCATCCTGACCAAGGGATCTGGTCCAATAAGGTCATATTCTTCCTTTATGCAACTCTATTTGATTGTGGAGAATTGGATGCCATTATTTCATGTATAATACCATGCTCTTCACAAAAAACACTAAGATCGGTAAAAGTGTACTCACCACCTCTATTAGACCAAAGTCTCTTTATGCTTTTTTTTAATTGATTTTCCATCTGTCTTGTAAATCTTAAATTTACCAAATACTTCATCCTTGGTCTTTATCAAATAAAAATAACAATACTTTGAATAATCAGCTATAAATGTGACAAAATACTTATTAGCAGCTCTAGTAGGTAACATATTTGAGTCACAAACATCACTATGTATAAGCTCTAAAATTTGGGTATTCCTTTCCACGGACTTAAAAGGTTTCTTGGGTTGTTTTGCTTGTACACAAATTTCATACTTATGTTTAAGGTTCATATTTGACTTTGGGACTAGGTCCAAATCCATCAAATTCTTAATTTTGAACAAGTTTACATGTCCCAAACGTCTATGCCAAACTTACTAATTCAACATTGAGAACTTTTGGAAGATTATTACACTTGGAAGAAACACTTAACTTAAATAATCCTTCAATAGCCTTGCTTTACTAAACATGATCTACTAATTAAATTTCTTCTAATACCAGGTACATGTCGCACGTCCTTCAAAATTAAGACCTTTCCGAATGTCATCTTTAGTTCTATGTCTCCAATTCCAAGCACTTGCGACATTGAGTCATTTCCTAGAGTTACATGTCCTCCACCTGATTTCTAATAGGTTTTAAAAATTTCATGATCAAAATCATACTTAAAATGTGTTTGAGAAGATTGTTGCTCCATTAGCATATTCACTTGGGCTTTTGGACCATTATGATTTGACTTATACTTGTTCTCCTCAGTCTTCTTGTAGAAGCAATGCTTAGCCTTATGATTGGTTCTTTCGCAAACGAAGCAAACCCTCTTCCCTCTCCCTTGATCCTTAGTCTTGTGGAAGTTCTTATTTTGGTAAGGTGATTTGAATTTAAAATTTGTTCTTCTAGGTTTGAAATTCTTCTTATTATTTATGGTGAACTTGTTTTTGTTTTTCCCAATTTTGTTTGTGTCATTCTCAACCAAGTTCACAGTTGTTTGCCTTTCAGTTTCCCTCTTTTGGCTTAACCTATGGTTCTCTTCGATCCTAATTGAATTTATGACTTGAACCAATGTAAGTTCTCCTTGTTTATGCCTTAAGGTTCTAGCAAAGTCATTCCAAGATTGAGATAGTTTATCAATAAGGTAGGAGACTTTAAAGTCCTCACTGAACTTCGTTCTTTTCTTTTCACACCTCTTAATAGCCCTTGATACTCATGTATTTGTTCCACCACAGAATTATTATTAACCATCTTATAATCATTAAAGTTTGAGACCGTGAACCTATCCATCCCAAGGATTCAGAGGGGATTCGGTTCCATGTAATGTATACTTTAGAGATATCCGATATGGTGGAGGGTTATATGTTTCTTGGACTATTTCTTGATATCATGATTCTAAGGTCATCTCTAATAGAGAGGGCTAAATGTTCTAAAGCTAAAAAGGTACTCGATTTTCCAAAAATTCATCTCAAACTGATGGTTGGTCTATAATCTTATGAAGCACACCAAGCCATTATTTGACTAGAGGGGCATCATGCTAGTCAAATGTAGCCTTTAGTCATTTTTGGGGTCAACTTCTCAGTTACAATAATTGATTGAAATTTAATGGCTAAATTGAAAACATCCAATCAATTTAATTAATGAATCACAAAATTTAAATTATAAGCTTAGAACTATTAATTATGAGGGCTATGTTTAACAGGACTATAATAGTAGACGGAGCTACGTGTAGCATTTTCAGATGGAGATGACTTTAGTTGTGTAAAAACCGGGCTGCTTCGTTAGTGGCTACAGTCTACAGAATTTGCAGAATAGTTTATTGGAATAAGTCAATAGTTAGGAGAAAAGGAATGTAATTATTCTGTAATTATTAGAGTCTTGCTTAGGAAGGATAATATGTCCTTTATTTGTTTCCTTTTACAAATAGGATTGTATGTACCTATTTATTCAGAATTATGAAATATACGAGGTTAAGCCGTAAAATTCAATTTGGTATCAAGAGCCAAGCTGTAACCCTAATCCCACTGTGCTGCCATGCTGTGTGTGTCGTGAATGAGAGAGGAAGACGAAACTGTTTTTCTCGCTGCATACCTGCAGCAAGAGAAGTTTTTGTCGTGCAGTGTACGTGGCTGCTGTGCAGTGTACTTGTGTGTACCGTGAGGTGTACTTGTGTGTGCCGTGATCTATGGCGAGTGACAGAGGCGACTTGGGGCTGAAATTGGAGGGTGGAGCACATGGTTCTACCCACGGTTCAGTCGTAAACCCAGTTGTTATTCAGAGTGATGCTTCAGCGGTACCTAGTATTGTCAAACTTAATGGGTCCAATTATTCCCTTTGGTCCAAGGTATTGGAGATGCATATCGCAGGGCGTGGTAAAAAAGGGTTCGTGACAGGAAGCATCAAAGAACCCAAGGAGGACAGTGCCGAGTATGAAGCTTGGGAGACGGGGAATGCCATTGTGAAAGGGTGGTTGATTAATTCCATGGATCCTACCATCATGGGTTTTTCATCCATCTCTGTACTGCTAGAGAAGTTTGGGAAGAAGTTGCTCGAACGTATTATGATGGGTCTGATATTTCTCAAATTTATGAGTTGAAAGTGAAGTCATTCAGACTTCGACAAGAAGGGAGGCCTATCGGGGTATACTATGCCGAACTAAAAACTGTTTGGCAAGAATTGGATCAGAGGAGACCAATCAAGATGGAATGTGCTGGTGACTTGAAGACACTTCGAGAGGAGATCCAACTTGATCGTGTGTATGCCTTCTTAGCAGGGCTTGATGATATATTTGATAAGGTGCGGAGTGATATCTTGAGATCACAACCTTTACCATCTGTGGAGGAAGTGTTCTCTATTGTGAGGCGGGAAGCGCAACGTCATCAACAATGATGGGTAGTCATGGCGTTGGGAATCAGGGGGGAATCTCTCCCGTGGCTATGGTGTCTCAGCCACCTTCGGGTAGCCGGACCTTTAGTCTTTCATCATCAACAACTTCTCGGCCTTTTACTCGGGAAAATAAGGATGACTTGAAGTGTACCTTTTGTGGGCAAACCCGTCATACAGAAGATACCTGTTTTCAGAAACGTGGAGTACCAGAATGGTTTCCGGAATTGAAGAAAAAATTGCGTGCAAAGGAACGAGGTGCTGGTGCAGCAGGTGGCGGTCGTGCATCCATGGCCACTGCTCCTAAAGATATCGTACCCCCCTTTGGTGATCCAAGTCAAAGTTTGCTGACTAGGACCACTCCTAGTGAAACCCCGACCATTCCAGGTAGTATGGGGCATGTGTTTTTAGCCTCTGATACGGAACATCATACAGGTTGGATTCTAGACTCAGGTGCAACCGATCATATGACCTTTGATAAGAATTTGTTTACTAGTATGACAACGAGTTCTCGGAAATGTATTGCAACTGCTAATGGACAAATAGCACCGGTTTTGGGGGCCGGCACTGTGCACCTCACGCCGGCCCTTCCTCTTCATCATTGCCTACTTGTTCCCTCGTTGTCTCATAATTGTTATCTATTCCTCAAGTTATTGAGCAATTAGATTGTGTTGTACTTATGTATCCATTGTTTTGTTTACTTCAGGATATTCAGACCAAGGAGATAATTGGGCGTGGCACTAAGAGAGAGGGGTTGTACTATGTGGATGACGTCGTTCCTGGCAAAGCTAATGCAGTTCGAGCATCCCGTATCAATAATTTACAATAAGTGTGGCTATTGCATCGTCGGTTAGGACATGCTTCGTTTGGATATTTAAGGCGTATGTTGCCTAGTTTATTTCATGAAATAAAAGAATCAGACTTACATTGTGAAGTATGTATTCTCGCGAAGAGTCATCGTGCTTCGTTTCCTTCCAGTATGAATAAAAGATTGTTACCTTTTGATCTTGTGCACTCTGATGTTTGGGGTCCCTCTCCTGTGAGTACTTTGTCTGGCATTCGATGGTTTGTTACCTTTGTGGATGATTGTACACGTATGACGTGGATTTATGTGATAAAAAATAAAAGTGATGTGAGTATGGTGTTTCAATCATTCTCCAAAATGATTGCAACACAATATTCCTCTGTTATTAAGGTTCTTCGTTCTGATAATGGAGGTGAATATATTGGTGCCGAGTTGTCTCTTTTTCTCCAGGATCACGAAATCTTGCATGAAACTACTTGTCCTCATACCCCACAACAAAATGGAGTTGCAGAGAGAAAAAACCGTCATATCTTGGAGACTGCCCGTGCCTTGCTTATTGGGGCATCTGTACCTAACCAGTTCTGGCATGATGCCGTTACTTATGCTGTATATGTCATTAACCGTATGCCATCCAGGGTGTTGGATTTTCGTACACCTCTCCAAGTGTTAACAGAGTTTGTTCCAGTTGTGTCCACCCATACTCTTACTCCTCGTGTCTTTGGATGTGTCGCTTATGTTCACATTCATAAGATTCATCGAAGTAAGTTGGATCCATGTGCCCACCGATGTGTTTTCCTTGGTTTTGCTCCTCAACAGAAAGGGTATAAGTGCTACCATCCTACAACTCGTCATATGTACGTGACTATGGATGTTACTTTTTCGGAGTCCGAATATTTCTATGGTAGATCACTAGGGGGAGACTATTATCGGTGATCTTGGGTGGTTGGAAATATGTAGCTCAGGAACAAAGTGTACTGAAGAAGGGAGCTGTGAAAGCTCCTGGCATACTGCAGAAATGAGCCGTGAAGGCTCTCCACATGAAAGGAGCCGTGAAGGCTCTCCACATGAGCCTGCCGAGCATTAGAGGGTTATACAGCCACCTGAGCCCTCTCGGCAACAACTTGCCGTGGGTGGTGAAGAAACTCGGCAGCTTCATGTCGACCCAGTCACTCCACTACCTACCGAATCAACAACCCCCTCTCTCTCTTCTTCGATAGTGTCGTCCAATGTATCTCATCTGAATATCCCTGAGGTAAGTACTACTGATAATCATGTACCTAATTCAGATAACATTGTGAGTACATATAAGTTGCCACCAAGGCAAAATCGTGGTGTTCCTCCTGACAGGTTTTCTCCGGAAGGAAAAGTGAAGTATCCAATAGCTAATTATGTGTCGTGTTCGAACCTTTCCCCGGAACGCAAAGCCTGGGTGAATAATGTAGAAGCAATCCAGGCACCAACTAGAGTTAAGGAAGCCTTGAAGGATCCTAAATGGGCTGCTGCAATGGATGAAGAAATGATGGCATTACATAAGAATGATACATGGGAGATAACCGAGCTACCTAAAGGGAAGAAGCCAGTTGGGTGTAGATGGGTCTTTACAGTTAAATACAAGGCAGACGGATCAGTAGACAGGTATAAAGCGAGGTTAGTGGCAAAGGGGTATACTCAGACTTATGGTGTTGATTATCAGGAGACTTTCTCCCCAGTGGCGAAAATGAATACGGTACGGGTTCTAATCTCTTTAGCTGCAAATTTGAATTGGCCACTGAACAATTTGATGTAAAAAATGCGTTTCTCCACGGAAGTTTGGAAGAAGAGGTATATATGGATTTTCCTCCAGGGTTCAATACCGGAGGGAAAACCGGAGTATGTAGATTGTTAAAGTCACTTTACGGACTTAAACAATCGCCTCGTGCATGGTTTGGAAAATTCACTCAAGTGATGAGAAGAATTGGGTATTATCATAGTCACTCAGATCATACGTTATTTGTGAAACGGAGGAGTGGAAAAGTGACGGCCTTAATCATCTATGTGGATGATATGATAATAACGGGTGATGATACAGAAGAAATGATGAGGATGGAACGAAACCTGGCTGCCGAATTCCAGATGAAGAATTTGGGAGATTTGAAATATTTTCTTGGTGTGGAGGTCGCTCGATCATCTAGAGGTATTTTCTTGTCTCAACGTAAATATGTTTTGGATTTATTAAAAGAAACGGGAATGCTGGGATGTAAACCGGTGGACACTCCCATCGTGGAAAAACATTATTTGGGGATTTATCCAGATCAAGAACCGGTTGACAAGGGTAGGTATCAAAGACTGGTGGGAAGACTAATTTATTTGTCTCACACTCGTCCGGATATTGCCTATGCTGTAAGTGTAGTGAGTCAATTCATGCACTCACCAAGTGTGGATCATATGGCGGCAGTAATGAGGATCCTGGCTTATTTGAAGTCTGCACCTGGTAAAGGGATCTTGTACGCGTGTCATGGACATATAAGAATTGAAGGTTTTACCGATGCTGATTGGGCAGGTGATGTGACTGATAGAAGATCAACATCTGGGTATTTTACATTTGTTGGAGGTAATTTGGTCACTTGGCGAAGCAAGAAACAGAATGTAGTATCACGATCCTCTGCTGAAGCCGAGTATAGGGGAATGGCATAGGGTGTGTGTGAGATTCTTTGGCTACAGAAGTTGCTTTGGAGTCTCGGTTTTAAACAGACAGAAGCAATAGAGTTGTATTGTGATAATAAGTCTGCTAGAGAAATAGCTGAGAATCCGGTACAGCATGATAGGACTAAACATGTGGAGGTTGACATGCATTTTATAAAAGAAAAGCTGAAGAAGAAGATTGTGTCAATACCGTTTGTGAACTCAGAAGAACAACTTGCAGATATTCTTACCCATGCCGTGTGTCGTAGGCGTTTTGATGATTCACTAGTCAAGTTGGGCATGAGTGATATCTATGCTCCAACTTGAGGGGGAGTATTGGAATAAGTCAATAGTTAGGAGAAAAGAATGTAATTATTCTGTAATTATTAGAGTCTTGCTTAGGAAGGATAATATGTCCTTTATTTGTTTCCTTTTACAAATAGGATTGTATGTACCTATTTATTCAGAATTATGAAATATACGAGGTTAAGCCGTAAAATTCAATTTAGTTATGGAGGGAGATGAAGCAAGAGATTTGTTTGGAGCACAGTCCCATTTGTACAAGCATGTATTCAGCTTCATAACTTCTATGTCACTCAAGTGTGTAGTGCAGCTCGGCATACCGGACATAATTGACCGCCACGGACAACCCATTACTCTACCTGACTTGGTCACAGCACTTCAGATCCACCCGGCTAAAACCGGTAACGTGCACCGGCTCATGCGCCTCATGGTGCACTCCGGCTTCTTTGCACGAAAACAAGTTCCTAAAAATCATGTAGAAGCAGATGAAGGAGAAGAAGAGGCGTATGATCTCACACCGTCTTCTACGCTCCTCCTGAAAGACAAAGTACCCAGCTTGTCTTCGTTCGTTCTGGGGATGCTCGATCCAGCTTCCGCAGCACCGTGGCAGTTCCTCGGAAACTGGTTCCGAGGAACCGAGGTCACGCCTTTCGAGAGCGCTCATGGGATGGGGTTTTGGGAATACGCGGAAGGAAACCCCGAATTCAACAGTCTTTTCAATAAGGCAATGGCTAGTGATTCTGGAATGATGAACTTGGTGATTAGAGATTGCAAGCCAATCTTTGATGGGTTGAGTTCATTGGTTGATGTTGGTGGTGGGACTGGAAAAGTTGCTAGGATTCTCTGTGACGCTTTCCCTCAACTGAAATGCACAGTTCTTGAACTTCCACACGTTGTCGCTGATTTGCCAGACTGTGAAAATTTGAAGTTTGTTCGAGGAGACATGTTCCAGGGTATCCCTCCAGCGGATGCTGTTTTCCTCAAGGTAAGCAAATTTTCAACTTTTCAATTATCTTCTGTTTTGACTATATGTAATTGCATCAACTATTTAGCCTATCATAACAAGATGGAATAGAATATGGTGATGTTAGAAGTAGTTAAAAATGGCTAAAAGCGTTTTCAAATAGCAAACATTCTTTCAGTAACGTTTGGAATAAAAGTATTGGAAATTATATATTATAATATTATTTTATAATAATTAATTTTTGTGTGAATGAAAAATGAGTCAAGTGTTATAGTTGAATTCAAATTCATGAGCTGCATTTGTTGGTTGGAATTTTAGACAACAATCACAATGTTTCAAAAGGGACGGCTTGAGTTCAATATAAACTCAACCATCCCACTCATCTAAATAATTAAGAGTAGAGTTTTCTTTAGGTTTTTTATTCTTTGTTAGTTAAATCCCGAGTTGTGTCTGGAGAATACGGAATATAGACGTTCGCTAGAGTTCAAAGATTGAAGTGCTTTGACTTCGGATTATAGATTATTGAATCATAGGAGATGAACGCCTACCGAACTACAAGCACAAGAGTAGAGGCGAAATTCTGTCTTTAGGACATTGCATTTATGTAAGCCTCAATCTCCAAGTTTGTCAGTTTTTCTAATTTTCTCTCTAGTTGTTTATGTTAATCTCATATATACTTGATGTTGTGAATTTGATTATTATCATTGAAATTATATTGTTATTTTTTCATATTTTCTAATATTGCTCCAATAATCTAAAGACAAATTCTTATGCAATAATTAGACAAATATGGATTTAAGAAATGATTATATTGAGAAAGTAGAAAAGAATGATCTGAATATATGTTAGTGAAATTGCCGTTTAAAATTTAGACTTTGAGACACATGCAAATTGATGTGAAGGTATTGTTCTTCATCTTCATTAAGAATCACATGAGCAGTTTGTTAAGGTATTGTTTATTTAATTCTTTTTGCCATTTAACGTTATTGTTGTTGGTTCAATACTCTAAAAATTAGACATTGAGAATGATGATCAGTTCTTGTGATATGTTATTGGTTTTGCCAATTCAAAATCTTGCCAACCGTTGTGCCTGTTAAATGGTTTCTTAACGATGTTGATGAAGATAACATTAAAAAAAAAGAATAGATTTTATTGGAGTTCGATTCATGCATTTTTTTTTTTTTGGAAACTAGTTTGATTCATGCATTTTGGTTTGAATGATTTTGATTCAAACAAAAGAGGGGTCCCAACATCTTTTTTGAGGTCCTTGAAAATTTGACCCTTCACACCGTAAGAGGTACGTGTCGAATTGTTCATTAACTATTAATTGACTTGGCATGCATGTACACATGCCACGAGGATCATGCACTTTCTTATATAATTTATCGGAAGGTTAGTTTATGCATTAATCTGGATCACTAAAGTTTGATTTTAGGATACATGCATATTTCTGTAAAACACATGTTGATCCTTTATACATATATGTAGTTTAGTTTAAATAACTAATTGTCGGTGTTTCCAATTCCTTTCTCTGGAAAAATGAGACATCGTTATTAGAATGTGGATAATAAGCTGTGGTAAGATTTCATAAGTCCTTAAAGTATTTTACTATCTGCATGTATAAAATATGCAAGACATATTTGTACTGATGGAGGAATTTAGAAATCACACAACGGTTCTTGATGGGATTGCAAATCGCTGCATCATTTGAAATCAATGTGGCCAGGATAGGCCCCATGCTGAAGTATGGTCGGTTTACGCTTACACTGAAAATAGGTGTCGGTTAAGGCCAAGTGAAATGGCTTGATTCAATAATTTGTTTTATCTACAAATTTTGAATGGTTACAGTGATACCAGTTCGTGAACTCAGATCCTTTTCCAGAAAGAAATGAGTTTGAATTATGCATTTAATCCACAATGCGATAAGTTCTTTCTTCACGAAAGAGAAGATAACCCCCTTATGTCCGTATGTGACTAAGAACTTTGTTGTCACAAAGAGAACCATTGATTTCATTGTCACTAAAATGAAACTGGCTTATATGTGAAGGCTTCAAAGCCATAGTGCTAGAGAAACTTGAAATCCGTCTTTGTTTCTTAATATTTATGCAATATTAAGGAAAAGAAACCTTATATAACGTTGAGGTTTTCTAGTGTTTTTGTAAAATCAGTTGAGTTAAGCATATTTATAGAATGATGAGCACTTCTAATAAGAGTTGCATAACTAAAAACTGGATTTTTCCTACCAGTCATGATTATGAATGATAAGAAGCCCAAGGGATTAATAATTTGGACTTGGAAGCGCGAAATAAAATTTGTTGTTACTGATCAAATTATAAATCTTTGAACTCATTTTTAGATGAGTTATCATCGTCGTAGAAAACAATGAATGGACAGAAAGTGTGGGGGTATTTCATAAAGAGAATGATGAAGCACTAAAACTGATGCTTATTGAGTAAGTATATACAATTAATATAGACATGATGATGCTTAATAAGCAATAATGTTAATGAACATGTTATGAATTCAATGATGTTGACTAATTGAATTTTGATAATTTGAAGTCAAAGTACATTTGGATGTGCAAATGCATAATGTATACTGGAATTGAAGATAGCCTTAGGTAAGGCTAGAGAAGATGTACTTTGTGATAATTTAGCCGAGTAATGGCTAAACACGATGTCCAAATAAGAGTAATTTGTTTCTTAAAAGAGAGATAATATAAAAACAGTTATCTCTTATAATGAGTGACTTTAAGGTATGAAGAGTTAAAGACCTTCCTACAAATACCTTAAGTAAGGGAGTATGCCCAAATATTAGCAAATTACTTACTAAAGTCCCAACATGTATAGTTGTGGACTTACATGGTAAATCTACTTCGTATGAAATATAATTTCATAAGATGGATTGTGTATACCATTAAAGATAGTCAACCTAAGTGGTACCAATTATTAAAGGATTGACTAAAGAGTAAGTTGATCATCGATGGGAATGAGGCTAAAGTCAACATAACTAATGAATCAGCTAGACATAAACCTTACTTAGTTGATTGGAGATCCCATAATCTAAGTTCAATAGGCAAAACTAGTTGGGCATGATTCAAATGAGCTAACACACTATATACCTCATTTCTATGATGGAAGAAGTATGTTGTCTGCAAAAGTTTTAGGATGTATATTTATACTTAATGACATTGTTATCTTATAAATAAGAGGAAGAGTAAACTGTCGATTTGCCCCCTGAACTATCACCCAACTTTCGATTTGCCCCCTGAACTTTTTAATTGGAAAATTAAGGACTTAAACTAATTTTTTTGGCCGATTTGCCCCCCGCTGTTAATTTTTCATTCATTCCATCCAAATTTCTGTTAAATGGAAGCATATGCACAACATGTGTAGGTAGTTCGGTCGCTTCATTCTTTAAAATAATTGAAAATCTTAGATTTCTAAAATATAAACCTATGCAAATATGTGTGATTCTATAGCTTTTTTGTCTGAATGTCTAGTGAAATGACGCTTTTGTCCACAAATGAGAGTTACGTGGTTTGCACACGATAAGAGTTAACGTTAATTTGGATGAAATCTATGAAAAACTAATGGTAGGGGGGAAATCGGCCAAAAAAATTAGTTTAAGTCCTTAATTTTCCAATCAAAAAGTTCATGGGGCAAATCGAAAGTTTGGTGATAGTTCAGGGGGCAAATCGGCAGTTTACTCATAAGAGGAATAGAGCAAACTATTCTTAATCAATGGTCACCTATGTGAGAGTAGAAGTGGATCGCTTCTATGAGAATGAGATGTCTAAATTTTCTGAAGCTCTCATGAATTCAGGATTTGTTCAAGATCAAAATGAATACAATCGTATGAATCGTAAGGATAAGAGATGTGTGTTGCTTATTGTCTCGGTTTACTGAAGCAGTGAACAGTTCAAGATCTTCCTCATCCATTGTGTCACCAAGTAAATCCGATAAGTATTCATTAGAGTAGGTTCAAGTCCAAAAGACACATCTCCTGATGCATTTCTTATCTGCCTGTACTCTCAAATTCTTCCAATTTTTCATTCATGTGGAGGATTGTAGGGCTGGAAAAAATTCCTGAAAATCCCAAACCAAACCGAAAAAATCCCAAACCAAAACTATCCCGAAGTTCGGTAATCCCATCCCGAAAAATACCGAAGTATTCAGTATGGGATTGGTTTCCAAATCCCATTTGTTCGGTAATCCTGAAATCCCGAAATGTTTTGTTTCTTTAGCTTTCGGTTCCCACTTCCCAACTCAAAAGCAGGAGCTTTTTGGCTCCCACTAACAGAAGACAAAAAAATAATATTAAAAAAAAGGCAACAAAACGGTTCCCATTTCCCAACTCAAAAGCAGGAGCCTTTTGGATCCCACTAACAGAAGGCGTAGAGAGCAGCACTTAAGGCAGAGAGTAGCACTCTTGGGGCAGAAAGCAACACTCTTCGTGTTGAGAAGCAGAGAGAGAAAGAGAGAGGAAGGAGCTACTGCCGAAAGCTCTTGAGTTGGTTTTAACTTTTGAGACAGAGAGCAGCACTCTTCGTGTTGAGAAGCAAAGAGAGGAATGAGCTACTGCCGAAAGCTCTCTCAAATCTTCGAAGCTCGATCCATCTCTTTCTCTATCCTCTCTGAAGCTTTCTCTAAATTAGTGTTCGAATGAGGATTTATAAATTAGGTATTTACGATTTAGAGCTTTTGATTGTTTAGATTTGGATTTGGATTTCTTGATTAATTTTCAGGGGATTTCTGGATTAATTTTATGTGGATTTGGTTGATTTGGATTTCTGGATTTCCATGGTCGATTTCTGCTTTGCATGTTCTATTTCTTTTCTGCTTTGCATGCTCGATCTGCAAGTTTGAATTGAATTATCAGCTTCTTCCATTAACAAGAAGCCAAATTTCTATTGAATTGGAATCCCAAAACCATACCAAAATCCCGAAAATATTTCGGGAATCCTGAAATTCGGAAATACCGAAATTTCGGTTTGAGATCGGGGATTTGGATTTCCATCCCAAAAAGAATCAATTTGGGATTCTGGATCCCATTTTTGGGTCGGTATCCCATACCAATCCAGCCCTAGGGGATTGTTGGAAATTATATATTATAGTATTATTTTATAATATTAATTTTTGTGTGAATGAAAAATAAGAGTCCAGTGTTATAGTTGAATTCAAATTTAGGAGTTGCATTTGTTCGTTAGAACTTTAGGCAACAATCACAATATTTCAAAAGGGGTGGCTTGAGTTTGATATAAACTCAACCATCCCACTTGTCTAAATAATTAAGAGTAGAGTTTTCTCCGAGGTCTTTTATTCTTTTTTAGTCAAATTCCAAGTCGTGTCTGGAGAGTACGAAATATAGACGTTTGCCAAAGTCTGAAGATTGAAGTGCTTTGACTTCGGATCATAGATTGTTGAATCCTGGAAGACGGACGCCTAACGAACTACAAGCACAAGAGTATGAGCGAAATTTTGTCTTTTGGACATTGCATTTATGCAAGCCTCAATCTCCAAGTTTGTCAGTTTTCTAGTTTTCTCTCTAGTTGTTTATGTTAATCTCATATATACTTGATGTTGTGAATTGGATTTATTATCATTGAAATTATATTGTTATTTTTTCATATTTTCTAAGATTGCTCCAACAATAAGTTTAGTAGCATACATGAACAACTAAGTATTTAGATCACCAAGATGATATGTTTATTACAAACTTGAATAATTCATGGGTTTCTGGACTCCAACTAAACATGCCACAAATGTGGTTATGGGTTAAAAGGACCTGGAGCTGAACTGCTTTTCAAAATGGTGATTGAGGAAGAAGTTCCAAGTACTTTTCTTTAAAGCACTTAAAATTGTGTTAAATTTTCGACTGCTGCTAATAAAAGCGGTTTTAACAAAGACGGTTTTGTTTATATGATGTGAAAATTGGGTAATTGGCAGCTGATTTTGCATGATCTGAGCGATGAGGAATGCTTGAAGGTTTTGAAGAAATGCAGGGAGGCAATTGCAAGCAATGGCCAAGGGAAAGTTATAATCATAGACATAGTGATGAACGAAGAGAAAGATGAGCATGAAATAACCGAAGCAAAGCTCTTGTTTGATCTGCTGATGATGGTTGTGATCACTGGAAGAGAGAGGAGCGAGAAAGACTGGAAAAAGCTCTTCCTGGAGGCTGGTTTCAGCAGCTATAAGGTGACACCAATATTTGGTTTGAGATCCCTCATTGAAGTTTTTCTTTAGAAAGTTAGAAGCAACCATGTAATATGTATGATTTAAGTGGATGCTGAGTTTTAAGAATAATCAACTACAAAATAAAGTAGTTGAGCGTTTGATAAACTGTATTTATAAAAGTGTCGTGAGAATGAAAAACAGTGTAAAATTATTTGGTAAATTTTAATGTAAAAAGTGATATAATTATACAATGATAGAAATGGACATGATAGTAGGGACGATGACGATGACAACGGTGGTAAGAGTAATGGTTGTGATGCTGGAGGTAGTGGTGCCAATAAAGGGGTTTGGTCGTTGTGTTGCAGTCTTGCAGAGGTAACAATGGTGGTAGTGACGCGACAAGTGACAATTGTGGTTATTATGGTGGTGGTGGCGGCGGCAATAATGGTAGTGGCAGTTGTAGTTGTGGTGGTGGTGGCAAGGTGATTATGGTGTGGTGGTGCTGAGGTAACAATGGTGGTAGTATTGTGGTTATGATGGTGGTTGTAGCAGCAATAATGGTAGTGGCAGTTGTAGTTGTGGTGGTGGCAGCATGATTGTGGTGTGGTGGTGCTGACAACAATATAAGTGGTAATGGCAATGGTGATGTAAGAGGTTATGGTTTGTAGTGGTAGGTGATTGTGTCTAAAGGGATAAATAATGTCTTCTTCTTTTTAAAAAAAAAATTAATGAAAGTGTTACAAAAATTGAAAATATTTAGGCTCAACTCCATTTTTTATTAAGGAAGCTTTTAAGAGCAGGATATTTTATTTTTACCAAACATTTTTTATTGCCTAACTGAAAAGTGTAGCAGTTTTTTGTAAAAAAAAAAAAAATACCAAAGGGACCTAATAATGATTTAATATAATTCATTCTAAAGAGTGATATGATTGGTCGCACACATATGTATATTAATTTTGACTACTTTGTAAATATTATAAGCATAAATAATCATAATCAGTTTATTAGCAAAAAAAAAAAAAAAGGCAGAATCAGTCATGCATACGTGTGTAAATTTGTTTTGATAGTTCTTTGTAGTTTTACAAGCATTAATAATCATGACAGTCCCACACGTGCAAGTGACTATTTCTAGTATTTCTTTTCCCTTAGTTTTAATTAAATAATTGTTCTTGCATTGATAGATAATTGGGGGACTTTTCTTCATTTTCACATTTTGATAGATATAATTCCAGTACTTTGATTTGTGCAATTTACAATCAACCCAAAATTATGCATTAGTTTGCAGGTGGTTCTTGATCGTTGTGGTGAAAATGAGTGTTCTTTTTGTACTCTAATGTGAATTTGAATCTCATCTAATTTGACAAATTTATTTTTTGGACAAAATAATTTGGAGTATACTATTTACATTTTTATTTTTATTTTTTACACATTTTTAGTTAATTTTTGTTTATTATTATTTTTAAATTTATCTGATCTAATGATTAAAAATTAAAAAGATGTATAAAAAATAAAAATAAGCGTATGTGCTAGGGCTGGGTTCGGTTCTCAACGGTTCGGTTTTTTTCCAAAACTAATCATATGATTGGGCTTCCCATCATTGTTTTGAAAGATAATGCATCAAGATGTACCTTCAATAATAAATGAGCAACTAATCACAAGAGCTGCATACTGAATATTTGGAGGGGGCTGAGGAAGAGGCAGACAAATTCTATAAAACCGCAATAGAATTTACAAACACAATAGATAATCTAAGAAATTAAAGGTAAGATATTAGAAAGAAAAAAATAATAACTGCCAAAAGATACCAACAGCAGATATCAAAGACCAGACAAATCTTTCCTTGGAGTATCCATAACTGCCAGAATCAAAGACATAGCATGATAATTAGAAATAATTTTTTGTGCGAGCAGATAATAATATATATGCATGCAGTTAATTTCAATTCGCAGCTCTTGACTTCTATTCGCAGCTCGACATATATATGCTTGGAGTATCCCTCGAGCTTCATCTGCAAGTAATAGTGGACCAACTCTTCTTCTGTGGGGCGGAATCGGAATCCCAAAAACAATCACACTGAAAATGAGCACACATTCATAAATCTCAGTCACTTCATAACACTAATAAATCCAGAAAATCGGTAGATTAATAGAAAATGCAAAGTGAACCCAGAAAATTCACCAGAGAAATTACGGAGAGGAGTCAATACCTGGAGGACTTTGGGGCCGAGGAGGTGAGAGAACTTTTGGAGGGTATGCGGGTCGGGCAAGGACCTGGAAGAGATGGATTTGAGGTCCATGTTGGTGAGCTCCAACTCCACCGAATCCACCACAGTACGCGTGTCATCGGACAAGGCGGAGTGGATCAAGATCATCGCCTTCACTTGTTCGAGGTCGCCGAAGCACCATCGGAACTCCCCCCATCCATTTTTCAGCGCCTGTTTGCCGCGGCGTTTGATTTTTGGGGCTCGAAACGGCAAGAAGAAGCTCACGGCGAGGGCGAGGTGTGAGAGATTGAGAGTGAGAAGGGTCGCGTCGTCGCGGGTCGCCTGGGATTCAAGACCAAGAGAGACAGAGAGTTTGAGAAAGACAGAGAGGAGGCTCGGCTGCGCGAGAAGGTTACTGGGTTAGGGTTACACTGGAGGCAGGGAAGGGAACGAGAGAGGGAAGAGGGGAATGAATAAAAGGTGTGGCTGTTATTGCTAGTGGCTAGGGTTAACTTAAAGGCGAGAGAGGGAAGAGGGGAATGAATAAAAGGTGTGGCTGTTATTGCTAGTGGCTAGGGTTAACTTAAAGGGTTTTGTTGATTTCTCAAAAAAATTAAAAAACTTTTCTGAAATGTTGGAGGCATAAGGGTTCGAACCCTTGCGCTGCAACTTGAAAATTTTCCATGAAACCAACTTGGCAACAAGTTATGTTTTGTTATGATTGTATGACTAAACTATTTATAATATTGAAAAATAAATTAAATATATATATATCGGTTCGGTTTCAGAACCTCAAAAACTGAAACCGAACTGACCAGATTCGGTTCGGTTCGGTTTGACAGTTTCGGTTCAGTTTTTTTTTCGGTTCGGTTTTTTCGGCCTCGATCCGGTTTGGTTTTCGGTTTTTTGAACCCACCCCTAGTATGTGCTAGCTTTTATTGGTTTTTTATTTATATTAAAGTCAAAGTCTACTGACATTGAGGCTTGAATAGTCAATTTGATTGGATTGGCTCAGATATTTGTTATCTGTATGTGTGGTGGTACAAGAATTGAAGTACAAAAATGTTTTAGTTCTTTATTTCTTATTTATTTTATTCAACTGTGATTTGTATTGTAATATAATTGCTATTTGAATCTTGGTTCCGCACAACCAAACCCCAACACAATTACCTTTTTGTTGTTTTTGATAAAACAATAGAGACTGTTATTTGGATTAAATTACCTAGTAGGTACTGGATTTATTATTTATATTAGTTGGATTAATATTTTTATTTACCGACAAATATCAATTAACGGTAGTGCACAATTATTGTCTGCTTTTTACAAAAATGCCACTTTCTTAAAGTCTTATCTTATCTTTCTAGCAATGATGTAATATAATGCATACTTTAGGGATATCCGATATGTTTCTTAATGGCTAAATTTGAAAACATCCGATTAATTTAATTAATTAATCACTAAATTTAAATTATAAGCTTAAAACTAATAATTATTGAGGGCTATGTTTAGGATGACTATAATTGTCAACGGAGCTATGTATAGCTTTTTCAGATGGAGATGACTTTAGTTTAGTTGTATAAAAACCGGGCTGCTTCGTTAGTGACTAAAGAATTTTCAGAATAGTTATGGAGGGAGATGAAGCAAGAGATTTGTTTGGAGCACAGTCCCATTTGTACAAGCATGTATTCAGCTTCATAACTTCTATGTCACTCAAGTGTGTAGTGCAGCTCGGCATACCGGACATAATTGACCGCCACGGACAACCCATTACTCTACCTGACTTGGTCACAGCACTTCAGATCCACCCGGCTAAAACCGGTAACGTGCACCGGCTCATGCGCCTCATGGTGCACTCCGGCTTCTTTGCACGAAAACAAGTTCCTAAAAATCATGTAGAAGCAGATGAAGGAGAAGAAGAGGCTTATGATCTCACACCGTCTTCTAGGCTCCTCCTGAAAGACAAAGTACCCAGCTTGTCTCCGTTCGTTGTGGCGATGCTCGATCCAGCTTTCGCAGCACCGTGGCAGTTCCTCGGAAACTGGTTCCGAGGAAGCGAGGTCACGCCTTTCGAGAGCGCTCATGGGATGGGGATTTGGGAATACGGGGAAGGAAACCCTGAATTCAACAGTCTTTTCAACAAGGCAATGGCTAGTGATTCTGGAATGATGAACTTGGTGATTAGAGATTGCAAGCCAATCTTTGATGGGTTGAGTTCATTGATGTTGGTGGTGGGACTGGAAAAGTTGCTAGGATTCTCTGTGACGCTTTCCCTCAACTGAAATGCACAGTTCTTGAACTTCCACACGTTGTTGCTGATTTGCCAGACAGTGAGAATTTGAAGTTTGTTGGAGGAGACATGTTCCAGGTTATCCCTCCAGCGGATGCTGTTTTCCTCAAGGTAAGCAAATTTTCGACTTTTCAATTATCTTCCGTTTTGACTATATGTAATTGCATCAACTATTTAGCCTATTATAACAAGATGGAATGGAATATGGTAATGTTTGGAAGTAGTTAAAAATGGCTAAAAGCGTTTTCAGATAGCAAAAAATTCTTTTAGTAACGTTTGGCATAAAAGTTTAGTGGCATACATGAACAACTAAGTATTTAGATCACCAAGATGATATGTTTATTTCAAACTTGAATAATTCATGGTTTTCTGGACTCCAACTAAACATGCCACAAATGTGGTTATGGGTTAAAAGGACCTGGAGCTGAACTGCTTTTCGAAATGGTGATTGAGGAAGAAGTTCCAAGTACTTTTCTTTAAAGCACTTAAAATTGTGTTAAATTTTCGACTGCTGCTAATAAAAGCGGTTTTAAGTTTTTAACAAAGACGGTTTTGGTTATATGATGTGAAAATTGGGTAATTGGCAGCTGACTTTGCATGCTCTGAGCGATGAGGAATGCTTGAAGGTTTTGAAGAAATGCAGGGAAGCAATTGCAAGCAATGGCCAAGGGAAAGTTATAATCATAGACATAGTGATAAATGAAGAGAAAGATGAGCATGAAATAACCGAAGCAAAGCTCTTGTTTGATCTGCTTATGATGGTTGTGGTCACTGGAAGAGAGAGGAGCGAGAAAGACTGGAAAAAGCTCTTCCTGGAGGCTGGTTTCAGCGGCTACAAGGTGACACCAATATTTGGTTTGAGATCCCTCATTGAAGTTTTTCTTTAGAAAGTTAGAAGCAACCATGTGATATATATGATTTATGTGGATGCTGATTGCTGAATAAGTACTGTCAAAATGCATACCATATGATTATGGACCAGTTTGGGATTGATGTGCTTTTTTGTTAAAGCTGCTTATGCTATATTTTAAGAATAATTAGCTGCAAAATAAAGTTGTTGAGCATTTGATAAACTGTATTCATAAAAGTGTTGTGAGTATGAAAACAGTGTAAAAGTGTTTGATCAATTTTAATGTAAAATTGATATAAAATTATATATAATAACATAAAGTGGACATGATAGTGGGGACGATGACAACAACAATGGTGGTGGGAGCGGTGATTGTGATGGTGGTTGGGCAACAAATGTAAAAATGATGGTATGGACGGCGACAACGATGATGGTGGTGGTTGTGATGGTAGTGTTGGCAGTTGTGTTTATAGTGGTGGTGATGGCAATGGCGATTGTGACATAGTAACGTTGGCGGTCATGCTTGTGGTGGTGGTTGTAGTGGTCGTGTTGGTGGTGCTGGTGACGCGATTGTGGTGTGGTGGTGGCACCAATGGTAATGGTAATGACAATGGTAGTGTAAGTTAGGGTTTATATTGGTAGGTGGTGGTGGTGGTGGTCAATTTATTCTTCAAAGATAAAATGTGTCTACATAGATAAATAATTTCATTTTTTAAAATTAATGAGGATATTACAAAAAAATTGAAAATATTTTGTAAAATTGACGGTGTGTGCAGTGGCATAAATGAAACCAGATACAAAATTTACGAGATTCCTCTACAGTCAGTGTGATTGGAGTACATCCTCAGAGCAGCAATGGTGCTTTCATTGAGAGTCTGGAATAATAGCAGTACAAAGATAACTCTCTATTATTTCCTATCCTCTTCCTCTTTTCTCTCTCTTCCTCTTCCGTGAACATCATTACTTCTCTGTATATTTTGATAACAGTCGGAGCACTTTATTTATAGAGCAACTCCATACAAACATATTCTTGTATTTTGAAATTTACAGCACATGACTTTGAAAATACGATCTCTTTTATTTCCAAAGTCTACATCACTTTGTGTAGGTATTGAAAATCTATGTGTGGACATTGAAAAATTCTACCAAGGTTTTCAATATCACTGTGGGCATTCATTAACCCACCAGTATTTTCAACACTCCCCATTGGATGCCCACATAACAACATCAGTTGCCTCGTTAAAATCTTGTTCTGTTTTTGGATGATCCCCTGATGAGTATCTTCTCCTGATTTCAAATCATTTAGGCTAATTGTTGATCATTTTGCTTCAGTCTCTTAGCAAAAAAAGTTGTTGAAAAAGGTGTTTTACCTGTTGTTAACTTTTCACAAGCTATTTCTTGAATTGGGCTGAAGGGCTTTCTGCTAGACTTGCATCAAATGTCTGAATTTTACTCATTTTATCTGGAGCTGAATTTGATTCAAGGGTGGTGGACACTTAATCTTGAATCGGACTTGTGATTTCTTCAAGGGTCGTCGAGGCTTCATCTTGAATGAAATTGGATCATGAGGAGCTTCACGTGGCAAGTGATTTTCAGCTTTGTCGGGAATGAATCAGCACGTGTTTGTTGCGTTTGTCTCCACATGCTTCAATGTATCATTTTCACTTGCATTACTTGTTCCCCTTGCATAAATGGTATTTTCCCTGGTTTTCCCCCATGCATGTGTGACATCTTTTCTTGTAGTTTTTGTCCTCTGATGCAGGAGTGGAATGCAACCCTTGCATTTGGATGGTTCATCACTTTCTTAGTGACTAGAGACCCAGCTCCAACAACAGTTGAAGATGGCTACTAGAGAGCAATACTAGGTAAGCAATCAGGAAATGTTCAAGGCAGTCAGTTCCTTACCGGAAATTTGAGTAGAGATTTTGACATATTGTTTTCTTTATCCTTGTCTTTGCAGGTAAGAACAAGGACAAAGGAAATGACAGAAAGATTGCATGATATGAGATACTCTTGCTCTCGTCCCTGATGATATAAGATACTCTTGCTCTGGTATGACTTGTTTTGAAGAGGTATTCTCGAAGAGGAAGAAAACTAAGTATTTCGAGATGCTATGTTGAAGATGCATTCTCGGAGATGAGGAAGAGTTAGACATTCTTGCAGGTCTGCCTTGTTATGGAGAACAGAGGTTGACATATATAGAGATTTAGCAAGTAGTGGTGATGTGTCTTTACTCTTGTCAGCAACTGTGGTGTAATTAGAACAGTAAGATTTAAGCATTTTCAACTTTGTCAGAGATTTTCAACAAAGTTGCACGCGATTTCCGAAAAAGCTGAGATTGCGTCTGAAAAATGCCAACAAATTTTATTCAGGAAAATGTGGCTTTTGAAATTTGGAGAGCGGTGCCTCTTCGATCTCTAAACAAATGGCTCTATTGCCTCTTCTTTTATAGAGATATCGATTGTATTCAAATTACACTTTGAAGATTTCCAACCTGTGAGAACTGTCTTTGTTGTATTTCTGAGATTTTAATTTATCTGACCTTCTTTTCCTTCATCATTTTCTGAAAATGGCTTGCCCATCTAACCTTTGTTTAAATTTGAGTCTCGGGAGGGATATAGACGAGCCGCATCAGGATAATATATGGCACCCGTCCTTGTCATCTTCTAATAGTCCTCTTACAGTTGGAGACTCTGTGATGAGGAATAACATACCGCTACAATAGTAGCTAGGAATCTTCTTATTCCAACGGATAACAGAATCCTTTCAGAACGGTCTGATGAGTTAGCCGTTTAAGACTCTTTGGCTCTTAGTATTCAATGTGCGGGCTCTGTATCCAATATGGGTCAATGCCTACTTGCTCAAACTCGCCAAGTTGAATCATTGATGGCAGAGGTGGCAAATCTTAAACAAGATATCAGATGGCTCAAGCACGAGAATAGAGTGTTACACGTGTTTACAAATAATTACTCTACAAGTATGAAAAGAAAGCTCGACCAGCTGCAGGAATCTAAAAGTTGGATTCAAAGTGATCACCAAAAGTTCGTTGCTAGATTTTGAAAGCAGCTGATGTCTTCCCCTTCTGGTGTTTTGCCTACTGGGGTGTCACATGATCAATCTCCAATGTCTCCTCCTTCTAGGGTACTGTCGAGCACTTAGACTTCACATGAGCAACTTTTGTGAATGTTCCCTCATGTTTGTTCATTTTAACTCATGTGTATGTACATGTCTGTAATTTCTCGGAGACATTAATAGATAAACTTTATTTCATTCAGTGTATTGTGCTGAATACAATACAACATATATTTTCCTAAGATGTGGTACTTCTTAACCAAATATCAATTTATCTTTACCCTCACAAAGATAAATGATCATTCTTAGTATCGACATTATTTGAGTATTCAACTCATAATCTTCAATCCAAATGGTTCTTTAATATCATAAACATCATGGATAAGATTCATGTTGGTAGATTGTTCGATCTGCAGCTCGAGACAATATTTCTCTCAACACTTTATAATCTTTCTTGACTCTTCAGGAGTCACAATTTAATATCATCAACTCTTCAGGAGTTCTAATTTAATGTAATTAACTTTTGTAAGAGATTTTAGTATGTTGCAACAATATCATAATGATAGTACTCACTAAGGCAATTTATACCATGCATTGGTATTGACTACATAATTCATGCTTTACCCTTCCGGGGCTTACTTCAAGCAATTTGAATCCTTCAGGGATTTTCTACACTTCATGACACATTTTCCTTTGGAATATATACAGAACAATTTGCTCCCATGTATACTTGAGGGATTTACTTTTGGAGATATGATGCGGGCGACCCACAACCCTTCGTATATAATTCTCCAATCATCTGAACTCGTTTACAAGAGTATAATTTTAGGTTTCAATTAGTAACCTTATGTCATATCATGTGAGTGTATTTCATTGTATTACAAATGCCCAATGTAACCTCATTGGTTCAACATCTTTTTGCTATTTGTATTGTATTCAAGTATATAGGTCTATTTTTCCACGTTCTTACAAAATTGTAATGGAATTGCCTTTCTCCATCTTTGGTCAATAATTTTTCCTTTAACGAAAAAGAACGGGACTCAATATCAATACAGCTCATTTGATGAATTTAGTAGCTACTTATAAAAACCAAAATTACCATTGGTTATCATCAATCTATGATCCCATATTCTCATGTGCATGCGCATGCATAAAAACTTATATCCATTGCCTCTTCAAGGGCATTATACTATCTTTCCCATGATAGTTATAATTTAGAGAATGTGGATCATAACCTTTTCTTCAGCGTTATAGAGCTTGGATTTTAATCTCCACTTCTGGGCGTTGAGTCATTTAGAACCTATATGTCTATCATGTTTCATGCATGAGACACCAACATTCCCATGTCTGCGGATTGTCGTTTCTGGGACTTATATCCATGCGGCGACTGTCATACTTCTGGCATACAACAGTTATGCTTTGAGAATGCAATAGTTTATAAGTGTCATATTCTTCCTATTTCGGAATACTGAATCTTTTTTTAGTTTGGCTGCCACGCTTCAGGTGTGCAACAAAGAAATCATTTCTTGTAGGCACATTTGCAGCAAGTACATGTGATTTTATCACTTTCGTTGCATTATTAAATGCATATGGCATTTGATTGACACATCATTGCATCATTCAATTATTCTTACTTCATTTTCATGTTGATTGCTTTATGAATCAAAATAAGACAATTTCTCTTCGTTCTTCCGGAATGGTCTTTTCTCATCATTCTTCTGGAATGATATTTTCTCCCCCCTAACGGCGGGAAAATTGTCTTATCAAAATGACAGTCCACAAACCACGTGGTAAACATATCCCCAGTCAAGGGTTCTAAATATTGAATGATAGATGATGTTCAACATCAATGCCCAATCTGCAATGATGCCTTATTTCAGTACGTTGTGGCAGTGTAATAGGCACATAGATAACACAACCAAAAACTCGTAAATGTATAATGTTTGGCTAGTTCCCAAACATGAGTTGTATTGAGAACTATTGATGGTTGGTAACATGTCTCAACCAAATTAATAATGCATCATGCAAAATAGCATGTACCCATGTAAAAATTGGCAATTTTGTTTTTATGAGCAGAGCGCATGTAATCAATTTCATCCACTGCAGCACTTCAAACTTACGGTGCTCATCAAGTAATTTCATGTTCTGATCTTCAGGATCAAGGGACTTCATGCCTGATCTTTCTGTATGATGGAACTTCGGGTCCAATCATTTTATGTGATGAGGATC